ACACTTGGCTCAAAGCATAACTATCAAACACAAACATAATATAGCCATGGAAAGAAGTACTGGAAGTTCTGAGTATTTCCAGCAGGGACTTTGTAGTCTCCTGGTAAAATCTCATCTACAACACTATGATTTTCCCCAATCATGGAATGAATCGATTAGAGGAAAGTAACTTGAATGACATAAGCAACTGAAAGCTTCTTACAAGAGACGAATAAAAATTTAGCAAAATGTAGGTTGAGAGGTTCGGATACTTCATTTAATTAAAACAGATTGCATATAATTTGATTTTTTTTCCCCCTGCCAAAGAAGAGTTGCCTCCAACAGCATGACAACTGCCAGTGCCAGAATATATGATAGATATCTCTAATATGCTCCAACCCTCCAGCTATTTTCAGCTCAGGAACCTTCTGTGCCTGAGGAGGATTATGTATGTTCAAGACATTCCTCTTCCATGTCTCTCCTCCAGTCTCACCTTGAATTCATGTTAACATTTAGCATCCATACCTTAACTCCTGTGGTTTAGTCTCAACCTGTAACCTCACAGTCAGCTTACACCCTGACATACACGTACAGCAAGGCTGTCACTCAAAACAGACATAACGTGAAGACAGTCAGAGAACATTTGCCTGGCCAAAGACCTCTAGGAACATCATAAAAGTCATTACAGTGTCTCGGAAAATAAAATAGTTGTAGTATCTCTTTGACCTCCAGCAAGCCAAAAGGCATGTCTCATGGTGAAGGTTACTGGCCAGCAAGATCTTTCACAATATCAGAGTAACAGGGTTTGACACCATGACATCCAAAAGGTTTTCCAGCTCCACTGCTGTGACAAAGAGCAACATCCATGCTCATGTATAACAACAGTATTTTGCTTGTGTGTAAATGTTAACCTAGAAAGCAGAAGAGGTCATTAAAAATGTGTGTGCCCACATGTGTGTGCAAGGTAAATCCTCCTCCGACTCCTGAACGCCTCCCTGCTCTCCCAGGAGATGCTCAGGAGAGGCATTAGCTCCATTAAGAATTCAACTGAGTGTTGTGAGAAGGATTTTTGGTGTGATGGAGTGCCAGCTGCGCTGATGTGCCTGCAGGACCTCACCAGTGGTGTTCCTGGTGCTTGCAAGGGCAGAGACCTGTATTTCATTGCTAATTACAAGAAAAAGGGGAGGAGAGGACAACAACTGCGACAAGCACCAGGAAGAACAGCAAAGACATTTCATGACCAAAACACTCATGCTAACTACATGTAAGCTTAACCCATACCTCAAGGAGGCAAACTAAGAAACAGAAGGGTCCCACTTCCCAAAGACTTTGAGACAGTTCATGGCAGAGGGAAACTGTTCCATAGGGCACAGCAACCCAACTGCAACAGATCCCTCCTCTGCTCTTACACAAGCTTTGACACACACACAACTACCACAGCAAAAGATTGGATCATTTTCAGCTGTTTTATCCAGCTGAAACAAGGAAGCACCAAGCAGAGGCTGAGGAGTGAAACCCACACCTCACAACCCTCTGTGCAACCGCCGGTGCCATCTGGGACATCTGTGCTGCACCTGCCCTAAGAGGGAATTTAAGAAAAACCACCATCAGGGACAAGGCCAATATCCGGTTCAAAGTTCAGCTGCTTTAAAGAAAGCATGGGGCTTCCCTAGCAAAGGAAGTGGAGGTTAGTTCTATCTGTTATCAAACAGCCTCAGGCCGAGGACCGAGGAGCCCAAAAAGATTTAAAAAAAAAAAAAAGTTATTCCACCCCATACTGGTTTGCAAAATTTATTCCTTTTTTTTTTTTAACACCACCCTCTAGTAGGCAGTACTTTCCTCCCCTCCCCACGGGAAGTACTTGGACAGCATGCAGTGAAGTACATCCTTAAAACAATTATAGCACCCTTAACACTTCCATTATATTTTATTATCCACAGTCCCCAAGCATGCACGAGCACAGATTATCCCTGCTTTATAGATGAGGAAGCAAACTGCACTGCAGGCGGTCCCTCAGCAAGTCAGCATCAGAGGCAGAGCCCCTGCCTGGGGGTCACAGTGTTTTTTCTAGGAAATTAAACAAGCCAGAATTTCAGCTGGTCAGCATTTACTTGCAAACGGCTCACCTAAGTGAGCAACGATCCTGATGAAACCAGCTGGACAAATAAGACTCTCAGCTTGGTGTTTGAACAAACAAAAAAGCACAAAGAAAAAGTCACTAGAGAGGAAGAGCAGACTACAATTTTTTTTCAAAAGGGATAGAGGGAATGGAGATTTCATAAGCAAACAAAACCCTCCAAAAATTAACTTTTGATTGACTTGAAATATTTTGTTGAGGTGAAAAAAATAAAAAAGGAATCTTTGTTTCATATTTGTGTTACTCAACCTTCTTCCAACCTTACTTTAAGGCTTTTTAAATTTAAGAGCCATGTTTAAAGGGGAAAGTAACAAAAATAATAACATTTTTATTATTCTAATATATTCCCTCCCTCTCCCAAATACTGTCATTTTCAGGTTGAATTTATTCTCCACATTAAATAGAAATATGTGAAAAGCATCCTAAAATACCATTTCTGGGGGCGGACGGGAATCATGAGGAGGCACTACTGATGGAGCCAGCCTGCTCCCTGGAGAATCACATGTGTAGGGGAGACCCTCCATACACCCCAAGTGTCTGCTTTGTTTCCAAAGGGAACAAGTGACATTAACGTCACTACTGCACCTCTAGCACCACCTGAGCCTCAGAAGACACCACTAGGCACCCGCGTTGTTGAGTGACTCCAGCTGCAGGAGAATCCCTGCAAACCCAGAGCACAGCAGTCCCATTCTCCACAGAGAACCAAGCCACCCACCCAGAGATCCCACTGGAGCCATCTCCACACAGCATCACCCACTGATCCAAGATCTGCTGGGCTGACTCCAGACTGACTTACAAACTCACACTCTTCCCTCCAGCCTTCTTCCTGCCAGGACAGGCAGGTTCAAGAAAAACTTTGCAAGATGACCCACAGGGTACTGGAAAGCGAAGTCACAGATGACACCACCACTACATCTGTCATGCTGCGTTTGCTGGCCCGTGACAGGGCACATCAGCAAAGACAGGCAGAGCCTCAGCTGGGACTGTATGAAGGCAGACGGGACCAAGGCTTCAGCAGGCACAACCGAGGAGCTGCACGACCTAGGAGCTACCCAGGCTTCTCAGGCTGTTAACTCACCCACTTCAAATATCTACAGAGTGCATGTTCATATCACTCACTTGTCAAAGGCTTTCAGCAGCAGTGAGGAACAACCATGAGGATAAACATGAGCTTACTCTGCCTGATGTCTCCCTGAAGCATCATGAATCTGTTGTGCTGGAACGGTCCATCAGACCTGCTGACAAACCAGCACCGCTACCAGCAGTGGTTCTGCACCACTTCTTACCTCCTCCCTGCACACCTACTCCACTTCTCCAGTACTATGTTTTCAAAAGGGAATAAATTAAACTCAGGTTTCATCTTCACTGGACGATAGGCATCTGTCATAAACAGCCTGTTAGGCCAGAGCAAGACTTGACTATTTAAAATTATATGAATCCCCTTAGCTCCCTGCTCATATGGATGCTTGTCAAGTGGATTACAATTTCACCTGAATTATAGAAATCATTAGGAGTCTCCATACAGACTAGTCTTCATTCTGTGGGTTAAACTCACCTGAGGAGAGAAATTAAACTAGAACGGGAATCTGAATCAAAAAATTACCCAGAAATAGCCACTCTGCTTTAAATTTATATACTACCTTAACCCTATTTATCTTCCTTGCATTTGTATCTTCTAAGAACAAAGTATTCACCCAGGAAGTTTGGTTTTAAATTCACACCCTACTATATTTCACAACAACTTCCCCATAGGGAGAGAGAGCATTTATTTACAGGGGTAAAGTACAGCAAAATTGACGAGGGTACAAACACACACACCACACTGACTTCTCCTCGCACGGGCATTTACCAAAACCACTCAAGCAGCTCACTTGATGCCCCACGTAGACAACCCCAAACCCAACCCCACGCAGGTAAACCCAACCCCTTCGTTTCAGCTACTCAGGTGGTGGGTTTCGGTCCCATTTTGGCCCGCAAGCAAGGTGTGCTGTGACCTGCTGGCCATCATCTCACAACTCTGATAGGGCTCCAGTCCCAACTGGCAAACACCAAAGGCACCAGCAGCCGCTTGCCAGCGCGGTTCCCAGCTGTGGTGGTGTCACACCAGTGCTTCACCAGGGCGTCACTTCCCACCAAAGCCCGGCTGTACCATCAGCCTTTCTGAAATTGAGCGAAATTGAGTGAAATTTGACTAGAGATTCCCACAATGCCCACCTGACCCCAGAGCCTCAGCAGCCTGGGGGCAGAGGGCTTCCAGAAGGGCCTTCTGCCTTCACAAACTCCAGTGCACGCTGAAGTTCACGGCTTTAACACACCTTTGCACGACTGTCCAAGCACACCTGACACCCGGGCACATCCCCTCACACACACACCCCAAAAGGCTGACATTTCATTTTCCACCACAGGCGGGCCGAGCCCGGGGCCGGCCTGCGGGCACCCCCGCTGAGGGGGGCCGAACCCGGGGCCGGCCTGCGGGCACCCCCGCTGAGGGGCCGCCGGGCGCGGAGCCGCCCCGTCGCCCTCCCGCCTTCCTTCCCTCCCTGCCGCTCGCCCGGTGGCCACCCGCCGAGGGCCAGCACCGGTCGCCCGCTCCCCACCGGGATGGCTGCCCAGCCCGGGGCCGGCCTGCGGGCACCCCCGCTGAGGGGGGCCGAACCCGGGGCCGGCCTGCGGGCACCCCCGCTGAGGGGCCGCCGGGCGCGGAGCCGCCCCGTCGCCCTCCCGCCTTCCTTCCCTCCCTGCCGCTCGCCCGGTGGCCACCCGCCGAGGGCCAGCACCGGTCGCCCGCTCCCCACCGGGATGGCTGCCCCGGGCACCGCCGGTGGGCTGAGGGGGGGGTCCGGCCCCGGGCCGCCCTCCCTCCTTCCCTCCCTCCCTGACTCACCCGGCCGGCAGCGCTCTTCCTCCGCAGCGTCAGCCCGCTCCTCAGCAGCGCCGGCAGCTCCCGCAGCTTCTGCCGCAGCTGCACCGGCTGCACCGGGTCCGGGGTTCCGCCGCCGGGGTTCCAGCTACGGGCCAGCTCCCCGCCTTCACAAGGCGACGGCATCTTCACGGAGCCCACGGCCATGCCGCATCCCTGCCGGGGCTGGCGGTGCAGCACACCCCGCTCTGCCCGCCTTCCCCCCGTTCGCTCGCTCGCTCCCCACCCACCCACCGGCGACGGGGACACGGGCGGGCGCTCGGTACGCACCGCGCTGCCGCTCCCCTCCCCGCACACGGCCCCCGCCGGGCGGGCAGGAAGGGCCCCGCCGGCCCCTCCGCCTCTCCCGCCCCTCCGCCGCGGCTCCGGCGGGGAGAAGGCGCAGGTAACGAGGAGGGTGGAGGAGGCGCGGGCGGGAAGAAGGCAGAAAGTCCTGTTAACTCCTTTGCGCTCGGGGGCCACGGCCCCACCTCTCCCAGCACCGAGGGACACGGTGCGGGGGCGACACAAGGGTGAGAGGCGGCGGGTCCCAGAGGAGTCGGGGCTCCTGCAGGGGCTGGGCGGTCCCGGCTGGCTCCTGGAGGTTGCCAAGGGCGGGCTGGAGGAAGCCCAGAGATGAGCCTCGCTGGGGCTGGAGGATTCCCCAAGGTCCCCACCCGCCCTGGGGGTCCCCAAGGCTGTTAAGGGGCGAAAGGCTTCATCGCTCCCCTCCCAGAGGATCCTCCTCTCAGTGAGGTGCTTTGTCCTCCATGCCAGCGCTGATGCTGGAGAAACAGAGCAGTTGGTCCCAGGTGAGAGGCTTAGCTCCCAGTTGTTCAGGAAATCCCTGGAAGGGAACCCTCAGTGCCAGAAACCAGTTCCTTTACTCTTTGTAGGAGATGAGTTCCAGGTGCTCGTCTGGAATTCAGCTCCTTGAATTACGAGGGTTTTACTTCATCTCTGGAGTCTGCCTTCTCTGCCTCAGTGGCACAGGTGCTGCTTCCCCTCTGCCAGCCCCTCTCCTCACCTGTTTAGAAGAAAGAACTAAATGTAAGATGGGGCTCACCTGATATATATATAAATATATATATACACACACATATCTGGCTCACCTGATACATATATACATATCTTCTGCCTCAGAGCTACAAATAAGGCTGACCTGCTCTTCCAGGTTGAATTCAGCGCTGCCTAAGTGTCTGTGTAAACAACATTATAAATTAAGCCAATCTCACAAATACATTATGGAAAGCTGTCACCCTCTCCCACCCAAGAGGTGCCGTTGGTTTCAGGGATTGACCCTAGTACTCGTCCAGCCCCACAGGGAACTGGCTTAACCTTGCCAATAAAAAAACAGGAATATTTTTTCCTCACTGATGTGGTCTCTAAACCAACTCCTCTGGAATCGCAGAGGTACCCATAGTGGAAGGGAGGTGGCAGATGTGCCCAGGCTGTGTTTGTCATGCTGAGATGCAGAATGGCCCCTTCCAGTGTCAGTGTGACGTTGGGTTATCTGTCACCTAAACGCAGCAAGAGGAACCTGCCCTTTCAGCTACACTGACCTGACAACAGGCTGCTGCAAAAAGGTGATCCTGCCTTTGCATCCTCCCTTCACATCCCTCACGTGGGATCTGGTAACCATCTGACTTCAGTCAGCTGATCGATCCGGTGGAAAAATAACACCTCCGAAAATAATGAATTTTCCATTGGCCAGACAGCTGAATTGATCCACCTTGTGACCACAGAGCCGCAGGACTGAGGAAGGCAGACATCTGGATGTAGGGGAAAGCAGAACTGCTCCTTTCGGCAGCCGTCTGTCATTAAATCAGTGTATATGCCTTCATGAGCAGCACAAACCAGGCCAACCCAGGTACTCCTGAAAAAGACAGGTTTTGTCCCAGCTGCATTCTTCTGCCACCTCTTTCCTGCCAGAACCAACAATCATTGCCCGTTACATGAGCCAAATCTGAAAAGTTAAGTGCAGAAAAAAAAAAAATCAGCTATTTTAGTGGAGTGATATGGCCCATCACCTGATGCCTGTTGCTGACACAGACAGAAAAGAGACAGGAACATGACAGCCCTCACTTGGATGAAGTGTGTGCTGCAGAGCCGTCAACCCCAAACCACCAGGGAAATCTGTGAGCCCCAATTGGCAACATCAAGGCCATCCCTTTTGGAAGGGCAAGTGGGCAATTATGCCATAAAGGGGCTTTAGCCAAGGCCACGCTGGATAATCAGCACGAGGAACACGAAGAGCACTGGCTGTTCCGTGCAATGTTCTCACATCCCACACTTTCCTATTATTTCACTTGATTTGTGCTCTCCAACTGCCTTGCAATGTGGTTTTTGACAGCTGTGTTGCCTGGCAGCCACTTTGTCACGGCTCAGGATGTAATTATGAGGAAAGGTGTATCTTGCACCCAAAAGAATAACGGATCCTCAGTGTACCAGCTTCACAAAAGGACCAAGTTCTTTGTCCGAGTCTTTAGATGCTGCTATGATACAAACAGCGGTAAGACAGTAAAGTGTGACTTCGTGTGACAGACTGGAGTATAACCAGAAGTAATTTGATTATGTTAAGAAAGGGTAAAATGTTGCCAGTGCTCAGGATTTCTAGTTTGTTTATTAACTGGGCAAAGTAAATATAACTTGTGAACAGTAACAAAAGAGAAATAAATATGCTCTGTAGCGCGTTTAAAAATAATCAGCTACCAGATAACATAATTTGGACTAATAATTGTCAGGAAAATGGAGTAGATGGTAGTCAGGTCTTTCTATTTCTAGTTTGGATCATTCCAGTTTCGGGGAAGACCATTATAGGAATTGTTTAAAATTAAATCTTATATTGCTTTTTTTTTTTTTTGCTTTTTTTTTTTCCAGAGTCGCAGAAGGTTTAACTTGGTGAATCAGTCTGATACCACGTTTTTTTCCTCATAGGAAGAGGGGCTGGGGGGAGAGCAAAACTAGATCTGGTCAGGATGTATTTGGCAAAAGAGTTTCTTTTTTAAAAAAAAAATGCAACAATAACAAAAAACCCCAGTGTGTTGCACTCAGAATGTTCTGTTCAGAGTATCTTGCTTTCAGTGGACTGTCACTGAGGGGAGAGCAGGGCTCTGCGGGAAGGGGGTCCCTATTCTTGGCAGGTTTGGCCCCCGGCTGACTGCGGATTTCCTGCCTCTCGCCGGCACCAGCAGTAACACAAAAGGGATGTCACATCCACCGACCATGTGCAGGCACTGGGGAACTTCCAGTTTTCCAGATTAAACACTTTTAGTTTGGTCCAATACAAAGCAAAACCAAGGACGTACTCTCCCTGGTGCTTCTACCAAGAAATCTAGGTTTGCGTATGCTTCCCAGAGGTTTTTCTGGGCAAGGTTTTCTCCTCTTGCTTGCAAGAGACTTCGTATAAATATAGGAACATGTATGTTTAACTGGATACAGGATGGAGTCTGGAGACCTAAGCAAGTTTACTGCAACTTTGCAGATGTGGGGCCTGGGAGTGTCCGCTTTTTTTGAATGTTTGTTTTTCTTTCACGGTGTAGCACAATCAGAAGAAACGCAGTAAAAACAATACAAGTTGTTTCATGCCCGTATGCTTTCCATATCAGTTTTTAAGTAGATCGTTGCAAAAAAAAAAAAAGAAAAAAAAAATTATTTGGAATCAGACATTTCCTGACAAAGCATAATAAACACTCGTTTTGGGGTGCAAGAGCCAGATGTGAGGAAGCTATCAGCAGGCAGCTATCCTGAGCCAGCTGCTCGCAAAAGTCCTGTTTGAATATTTGCTCTCCCTGACCTGGCAGAAGGAGTTCAAAAGAAAGCAAGTTTTTTCCCAAAGCAACAACACCCCGCTGTACACCCGGCTGAACATCACTTCCCCCTCCCCAGGCGGCCCTGGGAGAGCGGGGACGGGGGAGCGATGCTTTTCTACCCTTTCAGAAACTGAGTCAATTTTCTTCTTCCCATCACTTCAGGAAGCAAGCAAGCAGGTTTTTCTTCATAACACCATTTCTCCCACTCGGGAGGCAGCAAGCTCTGTGCTGCCCGTCTCCCCATACCACATCTGAATGAACCTCAAAGGAGGTCCTCTTCTGCTGGGGGACTTGTCCAGTGCTCTCACAAGAATCATACCCTGCAAACTTTGCTTTGCCAAATGTTACTCCAGGCCCAAAGCATATGGACCACAGACCGTCCCTGTCATCCTCTGAGACCCTGTCAGCTCTCAGACCCCTGACATGGAGTAGTCTGGCCTGGCAGGGTTTTATTGCTGGCTGGGGGAAGGCTTTGCTCCATCCTTCTGCTTTTCAGAGGAGTTTTGGGGCAATTCTCCAATCCCAAGACGGGGCATGCATGCCCCTCACCACTTCACCCACTGGCAGGTGACCATCCTTGTGGGCTAGAGACACGCACTGCAGAAATCTGGGCACCTCTCACCACCTTCTGCTTTGGAAAGTCATCATCGGTTCATCCAACTTCAAAACAAAACCAATCTGTTCACCCTCAGAGCTGCTAGAGATCGTGGTTTTGGCTGAATAACTAGCTTCAGTCTTTTGAGTTTTGACCTCCCTTCCATCTGATCAAAGAGCGGGATCTATGTTGCATTTTGAATGTTGGATATTGCCAAATTTCTGTGGCTATAAATAGCATAAATCGATTATCAGAGCCATAAACATCAGCAGCATGTATGTGGGTCATACACTCTGTTTTTTTTAAAGTCATCAATTTAGTTTCTCAAGTCTTTTTTTTTGAAAGAAAAATTTCCAGCTGTTTTAGTACCTTATCATCACATAAACCAAATATTCAGTAACTTAAGCTCAGAAGCACTGCTTGCAGCATTTCTGAGATGTGAAAGGCCTGCAAAATGTAACGTATGATGCTCAGCAATGGAAAGATACCAAAATGGGAATGGGGCAGGAGGAAGCAGGAGATCAGTGCAGGGTGTGACTTGAAAGACAGCAGAACAGGAGAATAACTACAAAAAAAGAAGGAAGAGGTGAAAGATAAAGGAGGTGTATGAGTAGGTGAAATATTTCAAGTAGTTTCATCATTTGTGTGACTCATAGCTGGAAAGGCTGAAGCTGCCTCTGTTAATTCAACCCCCAGTTTCTCTTGATGGCCCGTGAACCCCTTTAACATCTGACCCTTTCTCCCTCTGCGACCATCCCTCTGCCCCCAGCACCTCTTCTAGGCTTCAAAACTGGATCCAGGCATCTTCAAATGGCTGCTCAGCCCATGTCCAGCCCGTGATTCATCCAGGGGATCAGGACACAGTCCCCATTATTGACTCTTAGATGCTCAAAGATGAGAGAGCTCAGGAGCATCCTGAGCTGCTGGGTTTGCTACTGCTTGAACCAGAACTGGGGCACTGGTCAGGGGATGGGTGGGAGGGGGTGTGCACTGGGGGGGGGGGGTTTGCAGTCCTAAATGGATCTCTTTTTGCATTTCCTTTGGTTATTTGGTCCTTCTTAAGAATCACTGGGCCATGATGACAAGGGCAAAACTAATGTAAGTACAGCCAAAAGCATTGTTTGGTGTGTGGCAAAACTTTTGCTTTAATACAAACCCAAGGAAGAATGTGTTTGCTGTGGCAATTATGATTTGCCAGAGCTAATGAACCTGCTCCAGCTCTTGGGTTTGATTTGTCTTTTTACTGTAGTTGGAAGCAGGGGACCTTATGACCCCTCAGGGAAATTAAAACTCTTCCAGCTCTCATGTCCAGCCTTTTCTGTTTTCTGTCAAAACAATGTTGTCGTTGAGCTATTGCTCTTTCTTTTACAGGACAAAATTAAACTCCAAAGCCAGTAAGATCCTCAGTGGACTTTGTTCATTATTTCTTTTTTTTTTTTCCTTTTTTTTTTTTTTAAACTCAGCACAGAAATCTCAAAATGAAAAATCATTATCTTTTAATTAAAAATTAAAAAAGAAACACGTAAAAGGACCTGTGGAATCAGGAAGTTTTTCTGACAACTGCAACCAAAATTCAAGTTCCTTTGACCTCAGGCACATGGGCATATGCATGATCATTATTTTTTTTAAGTGTCCAATGTGAGAAACTTCACATACATTTAAAGAAGAGATTGTGTAGGAGATTTTGAAAGAGACAAATTGCAATTAGGTGCTAAATTTTCAGTGGAAGTCAATGGAAAACCTCCCCTGTGTGATTGATGGTTTATCTGCATATTTATCTTTTCTTCCATAGCTCTTAAATTCTGTGTTTATGTTTAAATTCATGTTTTCAGTTTGAATTCATATTTTATGTTTCTTCTCCATAGGTGTAAGTGTGAGGACGTTTTAGCCTGGTTTTGTAGCAACTGGATTCAAGACACTCTGCTGCCTCTTTGTACATCTGAGACCTCTCTGTGAATCTTCAAACACCTAAGCTCGTTGAGCACATTTGACAGAGGTATTGAAATCCTAAATC